ATTTCTGCCTTAGTGCGGCAAGCCGGTATGATTTTGAGATTCGAGAGTAGAGAAGACATCATTCCACCAAGGACTCCAATATTATTATTATTATTATTGTACTCTTCCTAATATTTTCTATCTTGTGACAACACCCTCGGGGCAATGGATTTATTTTTCGAGTTTTTATATTGTTTTTTTTATCATTCCGACGGGAGTCCAAAATGATTGCCTGGTTCATCCTGATGATCTTAAACATTATGCAGGTATTCCGTACGTGCAATATTTAGTTTTTTCAACTTCTTTTCTAGAGATTTGATTGATTTTACCTTTTTTTTGAGAACAATTCAAAGCGCATTTCTCTATTTTCCAGGTGGTGACAAAAGTTCGGTCAATTTTCGTCAAAAACATTGACATCATTACATATTTCCCTATAAATTCTGTATGAGAAATTGAGAATTCATGCTGTCGTATTGAGTTGTTGATGTTCCACTACTTGGTTAAATTAAAACCATAAATTCAACAAAAACAATGAGTTTTCAAACCAGCTGCTATATCAATCCTGAGCCTCATTAGCTCTCGCAATTTGCCTTTCAATTTTTTATTAAATGAGGTCCTTAAAAAGTGCTTTTCAAGATGAGAAAATTGCACATCTACAATGCGAAACGAATTAACATACAAAAGAGCTCAGCCTCCGAAAATATTTGAAATCTTCCAACTAAGCTGGTGCCCTGAAGTTGATTAATTTATAAAAAAAATCTCTTCGGTTTTCTGCGATTTTCGTATGTATATGCTTGTACAGTTGGATGAAACTGGTTTGATTTCATCAATGCTGACGCTTTCTGCCAAGTCATCAAAATACTCAGCCGATCCAGTATCATTGCGGCGCTTGACGATTAGGTTTATCAACCGTTTTCATCTAGTTGATAATATCTTCCATCATTTTCTTTTTGGTTATTGTGGTTTTTTTTTCAAGTGTGCCAGGAAAAATCTCGCCTGGAATGAGAAAGAAATAAAATTGACATCGAGTCAAAACAAATCTTCTCAAAACAAAATGCAAACTTTCTTAAAAATGGAGTGATTATGAAGCAAATCTTGTGATGTTTCAAGTTTCTACCTTTATTATCAATTGCCTGATTATGACATCCTAACAGGATAGGAAAAACTGTTCACATGGAATTATGGACAGTGAGGAAGTTGAGTATGTTTTGGAATGAAAAGTATTGCATCGAGATTTATCTTTATTCAATTATAATTTATATTAGTTGCTCCTTTCGACAAATTCCTCATCATTTACTAGATCATAAGAAAGGTTTCTTTGATCCTGCCTGTCCTTCCATATGTGTTTGAAAAGCTTAATGAATACTGGTTTGAGTTTCTGGATTTTTCCGCTCTCGGCAAGGTCATCAAAGTACTTATCGATTCGATCCAGAGTCATTTCGTGAGCACGAAGGTTGGGTTTGTCAAGCGTCTTTACATGGTTCGTGATGTCTTTCATCATGTCTTCTTTAGTTGTTGAAACATTTTCTTTCAAATACGATAGGAAAAATCTCACCTGAAATGTTTCATAACATACAGTCTGTCCGCAAGGTATGGAATAAATTCGATATTTCCAAAATCAAGGGTCGTTTGACAAAAACCTGAAACACTTCGATTTTTAATTATTACATTCTATATTTTACAACAAAATTTCATTATACAGGGAGATCCATATTAATATAATGACGTCATCGGTATTTTTTTTTAAAGTAACNATTCAGTTGAATAAAATTACCTGAATTCCATAAAGAGGAAATCTGAAAATAGGAAATAACATTCCAGTTATTGCCATAGTTGGATGTTCTACATTTATAATGTCTTTGTATAAATACTTCACCCATTTATTATCTACTTCTATTCCACACGACGGAGATAAACATGGAAAATCAATTAGATAACCTAAAAAATATAACTGAATTACAAAACAATATTGAGAAAGTCAATAATTTGATCAGAAATGTCAGAAAGAATTTTGCCTGTACATAAATTAACTAAGTATTGAAAAAAAATTCAATTTGGAGGGGTATACTTTTAGGAGAGATTAGTTTGTTTTTGGAAAAAAGCTTGTGATTTTCCTAATTATTTATCATGAAGATGGAGTAGTGAAAACCAAACCAAAAAGCTGTACCTGATCAGATGAATAAACCCAGCTTCTTAACGAAGCCGATTAGTTTGTATGGTGAATGGTCGTTCAGATCAGATGGTGAGAGTACGGCTCTACCGAACTCTAAAAACCTGATTTGGTCCCCAGTATGTACTCTGCTGTTTTATGATTTTCCAAAGAGAGGCGACACGCATTGTCTTCCGACAGGCCGAGTCCGAGTCTCCGCATATGATAACTCAAATGACAGTGACCTGTAAGAAGGCCTGTTAGACATGATAGTTCATCCCTACTGTTGTCCAACAACTATTTGGCATCAAACTTTGAAGGGTGAATAAAAGCCTTGGAATGGGCCAATCCTGGAAGATTCTGCCAGTCCACAAATCTTTGGCAAAGCCTAAAGCGATACCAATGACAGGTTCTGGTTCGATGAAACTGTTTGCAGCACCCTCCTTTGCAAGAGAATCAGCTGCCTCATTGCCTTCCAGGCCAGTATGGCCACGAATCCAGATCAGAGGCAATCTGTTAAGTCTTCCTATCGAGGAGAGTCGTATGAGTGTATGAGGTTGGATTCTTCCAATCTCTCCGCGCACAATTCAATAGAGTACATTTCCGCTTGAAATACAGTCGCATAGATTCCTAGGCAGGTTGATATCTCTGTCCTGGGTCTGCGACTGAAAACACCTGCACCAGACTGGAAGGAGTTTCAGAATCAGCAGTCCTCTCTACTCGAGAACAGTACTTCATAAGGCAGTTCGTAGTTGACTGGAGGCATAAAGTCAGAGGTCATTTCCAGAATGCTGTGACTTCCAGTATCAACCAACAGTCTGTTGCACTCTGCATTGAATTGGTTTGTGCAATTAGCAATGTGCGCAAGTCTATATGCAGTCCATCTAGCCTCTTTCTCCAGAAAAATGAGGAGAGGAGGTAGATCTAGAAGGATCTTCATGGCCGCTGATGGTGTAGTACTGATGGCACCACTGATGGCCAGACAAGCCTGTCTCTGTAAGCCAGAGAGCTTGTTGTGATATAATAATAATAATAATAATAAATCGGCTTTATTGATAATACAAAAAAAACAATATATTTGAAAATGAAAATAGTTTACAGGAGATTCTGGTACACCTTGGCGAAGTCTAGCTCAAAGCTACTCTAACTCAACCAACAAGCACCCCTCCATAATGCACGCAAACATACAAAAATAAAAGCAATTAACAGTGATGGTACCACGAAATGAGAACCGTAAATAAAATAATAATTTGTGATTACCTTCTAAAGATA